AAGAAAAAGAGTTCAACTATTTTAAAAAATCTTAAGAATAGTTTGGGAAAAGAGAAAGAAACAAAAAGAAGGAACCAGGTTGAGAAAACACAATTGGAATTTTTAAGAGTTCATAATCTTTTCCTCCCCCAAGGACAGGGAGCTCTGATGTTACAGAGAGCCAGGAGTCACCTACTCACATAAAGATAGTCCTTGATGCTGTGAAAACGACAGAGCTTTCAAGGGGTTGTGAAACACGGTCACCATCAGATTCCTTGACAGTGTAAACATGCACTTCTTTTTTATTTCAAGAACTTGCAGATTTTACTTCTGAGTAATTTCTCAGTCCAGGGATGATGTTCCAATTCTCTTGAGAGTTCAAGTGAAAAGAAGATATTTAATCTACGTGTTTGAAGACACCATTTATATTCGAGTTCGTTACATGTTTTATGATAAAAGGAACTTGGAATACACAGTATCCAGGCTTATTTCAGTTACTGAAGCTAAATTCAAGCTCATTTTAGTCCAGCTGTGAGCCCTAGTTAATCTCAGCACTTCAGGAGAAACAAGCTTTTCTGACATTCAATTTTCTACAAATCCAAGGTCATAAATATTTGTATGAAAGCAAGTGCAGAATTGATGCATAGATCACACAGTCACATCTAAAACTCTGTGGAAGTGTTTTAGCAATAGCAGCCTGACTGCTACACTGTGGTTTCTGTTTTCACTGCCTGTTTGTGCTGAAGACATTTCCGTATAACAGCCTTTTCTGTATTGAATCTGAAAGTGGGAAGGAGGGAGAGAGTATTACAAATCGGTCACATTTTGTGCGTTTAAGTATTGAAGAACCACATACTAGCACGTTGGCTCTTGACTTACTTGGTCACTGTTCTTTGAATCTCTCTTTTCTCTTCTTCATTTAATCTTTGAAGAATGGATTCCAAGAGAGAAAAATGAAAGTTAATATACTGAGCCACCTAAGAAAGAAAAAAAAAAGAGCAGAGGTTTATGCGAGAGGTGCTGAGTCAGGAGGGAAGCAAACCGGTTTAGGGGCTGGCGTTGGTCCGTACATCGCTGCTAATTTCTTCTGCATCTTTATCCATGAGGAAAATGCGAGCGTTGCTTTGGGACGGTCCCTGCAGGAGCCTCTGCAGCAGGGGGATGTCTGTCTTTTTTAGCCGTCTCTGTTCTGCGAGTGAAAACAAGAGTGAACCAAGAGTTAGTTCACTAGAGGAAAAGAAGGAAGGTAATTTCCCCACTCATTCTCTCTCTTTAGCTTACATTGAAAGGCATAAAACCTGAAAAGCACAGACAACAAGGAGGCACTCACTCAGAAAAGTAATTTGAAATCAAAACTTTGGAATGGATTAAAAATGGGCATCTTTCTCTTTACTATACCTCAGAGTTTCACTTACTATCTCAAAGAATTCATCCTTGCTTTGGTTAGAATGTGCAGATACATCTTTAGTCCAGTATGCCTTTTGTAAAGCAACATGCCCAAATAATTTTTTTTTTTTTT